GAAAGTTCAACCTTCTGTCAGATTTCCACCCTTGTATAGTTTCCAAAAATATTGCGAAGACTCCCCGGAAAGGTGTATGTGCTAACTTGTTCGAACTGTGAAATTATTGAATTTTAAAGATAGTTGTATCATAAGAAAGTTCAACCTTCTGTCAGATTTCCACCCTTGTATAGTTTCCAAAAATATTGCGAAGACTCCCCGGAAAGGTGTATATGCTAACTTGTTCGAACTGTGAAAATATTTCGAAGCATGCAAACTACAAATGAAAAAATTGTAAAGTACCTAAACTCTTTTAATTATTCAAGAACATGATTTTTTATATATTGCTGAAATGGTTATCTTGCTCGGGATATCATATAAAGGAAATTTTAATGTAAAAAAATGGAATATTGCGTTTCAGTAATATAGTTAGCGGTGCATCATGCAGATGCTTAAAAATAGAAATATTAACTAACTTAGGCTTCGTAAGTTTGTTTGTAAATGTAAAAAGCATGTGATTCGACTATCGTACTATGTTGTATTGAATTTGATACTCTTTGATACGAATTAAAACTTTCACAGTGGTATTTTCTAAAATCCAATTTCAAATGTAGGAAGGAAAGAAATTAAATGAACCCGTTAGAGTTGTTGGAATGAGTTTATTTTGGGACTGTAGTAATATTGTGTCCTCAGTTTTAAATATATATATATACTCTTGTTAATTGTTTTAAAAATATTGAACTCTCGAAACTCTCGCTATTTAACAACAAAAGGGAAAACAATAGTCTTTATACTTCACGATACTTTAGTTAACTTTCAACTGCTCTTTGGTTTTTAAGTTTTATTGGAAAAAATATGGTGAATATGTGTCTTAAATCCAATTTCTTATTAACACCGTGGCTAAACTGTACAAGACAGTTTGTTTGTTTGGAATTAAGCACAAAGCTACACAATGGGCTATCTGTGCTCTGCCCACCACGGGTATCGAAACCCGGTTTCTAGCCTTGTAAGTCCGCAGACATACCGCTGTGCCACTGGGGGACGTACAAGACAGGATGTTCATGTTTCACAGCAGTGATTTATTTTACAATTTACCGTCAATTACAGACGAGTGGTTAAACTCCCTTCTGATTGTCTATAGCTGTGTGTTTGAAGTTAAGCACAAAGCTACACAATGGGCTATCTGTGCTCTGCCCACCACGGGTATCGAAACCCGGTTTCTAGCGTTGTAAGTCCAAAGACATACCGCTGTGCCACTGGGGGCTGTCTATAGCTATAAGAGACTCATGGTTACAGTCGAGTTATAGGTTTTGCTGTTTAGAAAGCGGAGTATAGTACATATATGATCATAACAAACGTTTACAATAATGGCTGGAGACGGCTTGAATGGGTAATGAAGAAAAACTTTAATATAAGTTTAACATAACAGCAAATGTACAGTGTTTCGACAAGGTTTTTGTCATCATCAGGTCATCAACGTTTACAATTATTTGGCAGAAAAAAACAAATACACACATTTACAACAATATAAAATATTTCTTACTTGTTTCATTTGATTAATTTTTCGTATACCACAAGTTTACTATTGTAGAAGTTTAAAACAATGTTAACTGCAATAAGACTTAGCCATTTTTAGTTTATATATATGTATATATGTTTATGTATATATATATATATAAATACGAGAAAGGTATTTAAACTTGAAAAAATATTTACTGCAATGATTAACGATAAAACGTTCGAGGGTTGTAAAACTCATAGCTATGCTTCATAAATCTCAAACTTTGAGAACTTAATGTATATATTATATTTACGCACCTTTTTGAAGTGTCCAACAACTTTCTCAAAGCATTCCGAGTGCTTGGAAAAGTCCGTAATGTCAAAGGGCACTAGCAGTACGTCATCATCTTTCAACGGACCTTGGGCTTAAAATCGACAAATAAATTTAAGAGCATGAATACCTGGGGCGTATTAATTATCTATGACGTTTTCTTATAAGCATTAATTTCACGAGGTTATACTGACATCCTAGAAAGTTCTCCGAAGCTGTTGTATTTTTGGAATTATAAAATCTGTTAACATTTTTAAGTGTAATTACAGACTAAAACAAAATAAAAGTTAGCGAAGTGGTTAAATACAAAGTATTAAAACCCCAAAATACATTCGCTAAAACCGCCAGTAATTGACGTTGTTTCTGGTGCTATAACCGTTAGTAACTCGAAATGCTTTTTCTTGGTGCTATAACCGTCTGTAACTGACAACGTTCTTTCTAGTGCTATAAACGTCAGTAACTGGAAATGCTATTTCTGGCGCTATAACCGCCAGTAAATCAAAGTGCTGTTTCTGGTACTATAACAATCAGTAAATCGAAGTGCCGTTTCTGGTGCTATAACAATCGGTAATTCGAAGTGCTGTTTCTGGTGCTATAACAATCGGTAATTCGAAGTGCTGTTTCTGGTGCTATAACAATCGGTAATTCGAAGTGCTGTTTCTGGTGCTATAACAATCGGTAATTCGAAGTGCCGTTTCTGGTGCTATAACAATCGGTAATTCGAAGTGCTGTTTCTGGTGCTATAACAATCGGTAATTCGAAGTGCTGTTTCTGGTACTATAACAATCAGTAAATCGAAGTGCTATAACAATCGGTAATTCGAAGTGCTGTTTTTTGGTGCTTTAACTGTCAGATATAAAATTATAGTTATTTAACGTTTTAAGTATAAATAAGAATTCATACTCTTAGTAATAGATTGTTCTGTAACGCACCACTCTAGTTATATTCTAGGTTTTTTAGTTTTATGCATCTAAAAAAAGGGGTTTTCATGTATCACGTGGCAGATAATTCACAACTAGTCAATTTGTTTAATTTCTACAGGATTATAGAGTGCTAGAGCTAAAGAAAAACATTATGTAGGTCTTTTTTAACGGTGATTTCGTTTTGATTTTAAATAATGCTTACCTAGACACTCTGTCTTTACGGCTTCCAACCTGTCTACCTTTGTTCCAGACAAAGCTAGTTTGACTCCGTATTTAGCCAGTTCGTAAGCCAATGCTTCTCCAATTCCACTAGAAGCTCCAGTGATCCATGCAACTTTACCACGTAACTCAGCTAAGGAAGAGTCGTAGTATCTATTATGTACATCTATACCTTTTCACTTTAATATTTGCTAGCATGAACTTCACCACCTTCTTTTAGCATTATGATATGAACACACAAAGTATTGATGATATCCAACTTATTTCAAAAATATTCGACTCTCAATCTGGAAGAGTGAGAAACGGTTATTACTTAAAAAAAAAAATTCTCTATAAAAATGCATCATGTCTAATAAATCATGTTAATCATTTATCTTTCAAAGCACTAATGAGGATAAACTTTTCCCGAGTCTCAAGAGCTGTGTTGATAATGAATACTGATCATTTAATTCGGTTGTGTGTTGCTAAAGGCTCATAACAACGAACAAATGGTAAATCCAGTTACCAAATGTGATATTTACTCACCATAATGATTGTTTGTTTGTTTGTACTTATGCATAAAGCTACACAATGGGCTATCTGTGCTCTGCCCACCACGGGTATCGAAACCCGGTTTCTAGCGTTGTAAGTCCGCAGACATACCGCTGTGCCACTGGGGGGGGGGCACCATAATGAATTATTTTTGAAAGTAATGTGTACACAACAGGAAAGCCAGTAAATATCTAATAATAAATCAGTTAGCACCTAGTATTTAAAATATACCATACGTTTTCTGTATTTTAGATTAGAAATGTGAACAATCCATATTCACCAAAGCTCGCACGTACAGTATGGACAGGCGTGGCCTAGTGGCTAGCGTGGTTAATTTTCTCAGTCTTGTTAAGAATTCCCCCAGTGGGCCAGCGGTAAGTCTTCGGATTTACAACGCTAAGATCAGGGGTTCGATTCTCCTCGGTGGACACAGCAGGTGGCTTTGCTATACAAAACCCACACTTGACTTGGCATCGCTAGGTAGCTAAGGCGTTCTACTTGCAATCTGTGGATCGCGGGTTCGAATCCTCGTCCCACCAAACATGCTCGCCCTTTCAGTGGTGGGGACGTTATAATGTTACGTTGAATCCCACTATTCGTTGGTAAAAGAGTAAAAAGTTGGCGATGGGTGGTAATGACTAGCTGGCTTCCCTCCAGTCTTCCACTGCTAAATTAGGGACGCTAGCGCAGATAGTTCTCGTGTAGCTTTGGGCGAAATTCAAAACAAACTCATTCAGAACTTTCAAATATAACTCTCAACGTTTTCAAGGTAAAGACGTGTTGTCCTTTGTACTGTGCATTCGCCTTAAATGGTGAAAATATCAAATGATATTCAGTAATGTTTTTAACGAAAACAATAATATACACCTGGAAAAAAGTTAAGCACCCCCGTGTTTTTTTCAAGTGATTCAGATTCGACGTCCTTGTGACTGATTA